AAGGGTGAAGCAAATAAAGGACCGAAATTAAGCTAGTTCAATGAACACATATACCCCTTTCATTAACAAAGGCGATTTTAAGGTTGAAGTCTAGGGAAGGCCTATTGAACTGTTCCATTTAAAGCAACTAACCAACCAAACTGATTCAACTATATTTTAAAGGATCGTGACAGAATTTCTGTACTTCATTGAATTCATTGAATTCCCGGTCTACCAAATGAAGGCATTTATTTACTTCACCCTTACGTTTATTCAACCTTTGAAATTACGTTAACTAAGACCATTTAAAATAAGTACTCCTTGTCTTTACTAATTTAGTCACTGATTCTATTTAATCAATGGTCTTCCAAGTTTAACTCATTTGCCTAACCCTTCAGAAAACGAATCAAACCATTGACATTGCTTCAACTAAGTTATTTTCAAGAAGCAAAAAACCCTTAGTCACATTAAGTACTGAATTTTTGAACAAAGCAATGAAAACATGATGATGATGTTGAACGTGCCGTCGCCCTTGTCGCAAACGACACGAAGAAGGAGGATCAGCCGTGGCCGCGGCCAATCCTAAGCTGAGGGACTCCGCGAAGCGGAGTCCCTGAAGACCTGACAGCCTTCAGGAGCAAAGATGAAACAACTCTGGAAGAAGAAGAAGAAGATGTTGAGCGTGCCGTCGCCCTTGTCGCAGACGACACGAAGAAGGAGGACCAGCCGTGGCCAGTCCTAAGCTGAGGGACTCCGCAAAGCGGAGTCCCTGAAGACCTGACAGCCTTCAGGAGCAAACATGAAACAACTCAGTCACTCAGCCTCGCGGTCCCAAGTGGGAGTGTGAGAGAGTGAAAGAGAGTGAGAGAGAAACGATCGAACGAGCTTACGACCGCCCCGCGGCACCATGCCGCGCGTGCCGTGAAGCCCACAACTTGCACGCCGTCTCAGCCACGTGCACGCTGGCGTCCCACCCGTCCCTCGGGGACACCCACCCGAGACGCCGGGTAAGAGGGTTAGCAGGGACCCCCACCCCCGGTGGACGCGCGTTGGTCCGGCACCCCCACAGAAGGTGCGCATGGTACCCAATTGCGCGTCGGCAAAAGGGGCAGACCCCCGTCTCCCCCTGCCCGCCTGCCCTATACAGGTGCTCCGGCGAAACAGTCGAGGCCAAAAAGGCCGCCCGATAACCGGGCCCCAAACCCAGCGCCTTACGAGTGCGCGGGATATCAATGGAAGAAAAAGCCCTAAACAGGGCCTGCATCGAGTGCTGCTGCACCAACTTGACCGCCTCATGCCGAGTCGAAGCGAGATAATTCTCAAAGGCAGACCGCCTCATCTGCTGTCTTAAGGCGTGCAGCTGCTCTTCAGCCTGCTGCCGAGACCCGGGCCTGAGATCCAGGCAACGCTCCGAAGCCGGAACATGTTGGCGCCACGCTTGTGGTACCGCCCATCGCCAAGGCCCCTGCTCAGAAAAGCCGATTGCCTTCAAATGTCTGCGAACGAGACACAGCGTGGTATGCGGCACGTTATGCCACTGGCCCAAGAGGCCACGATCATTAGCGCGCCTTAGTTGCTGCCAAGCCCTGAGCACGACTACCGTGGACAGGTGAACAGTGGTCCCATAAAGGACTTTGCGCAGATCCCTGCTAGCAAGGTAGCCAGTACGGAACCCCCGCGAAAGCATGGTGAAAAGCTTTTCGGCAGCCTGCTTGGTAGGAAAACGCCCCACCCAACCGTACGAAGCCTTGCTAGTGACAAAAGCCCTGTGAGCCAGGAGCATACGCTCCCAGGGAAGCTGGGTGGTCATGAGCAGAGCCGCCCTCGATCGGGATTCAGACAAACGCACCTCCTCAACCTGCGCCAGTTTGCACGGCCGAGAGACCGTGGAGGCCCCCAGAGCCTTTACCTCCGGCGCGTGCCAAGCGGCATCAGCTTTGAGGTTCAGTATTTGCACATACTGAGCTCCCCGCGCAGCAACCTGCACCTTTTCAGGAGCCTCCTTAAGGCCCACTTGCGCGCTCCAGCGCGCCCAACAGCTGATGCGACCCTCGACCCCCTCCCATCGAGTGGTTTGAAAGCTGCGATCGTCCATATACGTAGCCAAAGAAGCCCCCCCGTCCCGGACCTGAGCCTCAACCGTGCGCACAGCGGAACAAGCCCAGAGACTCAACACGAAGGGTGCTTAGAGGACATCCTTGAGGCGTTGCGGAACCCGCGGCGTGCGTGCGGCCTTCATACTGCACAAATGGGCGCTGACCCCCCCAGGCCTGCCCGATGAGCTGGCCCAGATGCGGCGGAAGGCCGATGGCCGTAAGAAACTGCGAAGAGATGGCCGGCTTCATACGATCGGCGTAAATGCGCCAGAAGCAAGAGCACACCGTGATGGGGCGGGTGTTCTTAACATGCAACCGATTGTTAGGCTCAAGTTTCCCCGGTTTGACCAAGGTGACCTGCCTAGCTTCACAGAGCTGTTCCGGCAAGAGCCCCGTCCGCTCCCAGAGCATCATGAGCTGGTGCAGCAGCTTAACTGCCGGCTCCGGCATGAAGCGGAGCTCATCCCCCGACCACTGGTCCGCACCCGCTGCCCCTTTACAGTGACGGACACACCACAAAACCTCCTCATGAGTGATGGTAGTCCACTGCACGTTCTGCGTGGGCCCAAAGCCCTCCACGAGGGTGTGAACAGCCCCGTCCACATCGACAGGAACCTCCTGCCAGACTTCTTGCCAGTGCCTACACACCATGGCGGTGGCCTGCCTTCTCGAGAAAGCTTCCATGTCACTATTGTAAAGGACAGCCTTGCTGGTAGCGGCAGCTTTGCTTTTAAGGCAAGCGCCCAAAGCCTTCAGGGTACCAGTAGCCATGCGATCCCGCCACTGCGCGAGCCTAGCTTGCTGCTGGCTATGCTCAGCCCGCAACTGTTCATCCTTAGTCACAGCAAGGGCCTGGGCGGCCAGACTGGCTAACTCCTCCGGAGCAGTGCCAGCCGGCACTTCAGGCAACGCCCGACTGAGGAGCCCGGCAGGAACTGCACGGTTCAAAGCACAGAGGCGCTTGACCTCATAGAGCCGAGCCAGACGACGCCGAAGCTTCCTGAGGCCCTCACCCTGAGTCGGATTAGAAGGGCTCCCGACCTGTTCCGGCACCCACTGAAAGTGTGCCTGTCGGCCCTTGGCGCTGAAGCCAGGCGGCCGAGGTGGCTCTCCCGAGGCACAACAACCCAAGGAGCGCACTGCATCGTTGGTGGCCGCATCATAGCAGGCACTGAGACAAGACATGAAAGCATTCCAAGGCTCTTGCACGGCTTGCTGTGTAGCAGGGCGTGTTGTGGCATTGAGATACGACTGCACAAGCTCACAGCACTCAGAACCTAGGACCTGCTCTGCCCAAGCTTTGGCGAGCTTTTTCATCCAGTCCTCCTTAGAGATATGCGGGGGCTGCAACCACTTGGGCGCAGGCTTCAAGCGGCCTTTGTGGCGCTCAGCGATGCCAGCGGCGAGGCGAAGCCAGTAACCCTTGCGGTCACTAAAACGCTCGGTCGCCGTCCCTGCCCACGCGACCCTGGCCCCTTCAAAGGTGCTCTGGGCCGCCCAGTCAATAACCCTGTTACCGCCCCATCTCGTAGGACTGCCGTCGGTGGCAACCAATTGCCCGCCGTGCGCCCGAAGCACTTCGCAGACAAGACTGTCCTCTGGTTCCATGTTGTGGTCACCTACCAGCAGCCACGGAGCACCCCCCAGCCCTTCCTGATCTGATTGTCACGGCGCTGACAAGAGCTAGCAGTGGTGTGCTTGACCGAAGTGTGGACCAGAAAGGCGATGCCCCCACAAAACCGATCCCGCCCCCACCGTCCCTGAGCAACCTGCCCCGGGGTATAGTACGCAAAGTAACCTTTGCGCCTAGCAGCTTTGGCAAAACCCTGCCACTCAGTAGGCGACATGCCCACTTCCTGCAAACATAAAACATGCGCTTTGAGAAAATCACTGTTGTGCAGGCGCCAGCAACCCGGAGCCCCACCACAGTTGAGGACAAGCATGCGCGTGCCCTCCCGCTCACCAGCGGCCCGAGATCTAGCTTCCCCCATCCTGACCCCTCTGTATCCCCCCAACCGGAATTCAAAGTGAAGCCAAGCTCCTTGCAGATAGCAAGGGAGCTACTGAGTGCCGGGCCCGCCTCCGAGCCCAGCACCCATAGTCAGTTAAGCCCCGCCGGATTTTCCCTAAGTCGGAGCCACCACATGCGCTTGCGCGTCCTAACCAGAGGCTTAGTTTGCAAACGAGCAAGACGCTCGTCGCAGGTGAGGTACCTCACCTTCGCATCTTCATGCTGCAAATGCGACAAACATCGCCGACAGTAGACCAAGCAGCCCCGCTCGGTAGCCCTAGCCGGCCTGTATGTGAAGATGTCATGAGTCTCATGTTTTTCTTTCCTGTGTTTAACAAACTTGGCAGTCTGAGCACGGCTAACCCCTCGTTTCCTTTGGGGCTTTCCCAGGCGTTTTCTCACAGAAAGGGAACGGGGAGTTTCCTGGGGGTGGGCCAAGGCGATGTGTCGTCTGACAGCACGCTTGTGGTCTTGCGCAGGGAGCGCGGGGAGCGCGGCTTTGCAGTTCAACATGCTGCATGTCCAAGCTTGCTGCTCAGGCGGGAGCATGTCGCTGGCCTGCACCACCTCACTCTCCTTTGTCCGGCGTGGCGCACCTGAATCAGGCGGAGGTTGAACGTAGGGTGCCTCGAGGCCATGTGATGCTTTTTGGAGCCAGGAAGGCCCGCAGACGAGTGACACACTGGACAATGCCAGTGCCACCGGTCGACCGGCGGCTCCTCATTTTCAGACTCTGTGGCGACCTCACGGAGTCTGGCCTGAAGTGAGTCCTCTGAGGCCGCAGAAGCAGCAGACGCGTCCCGACCACCACAGTAGCCTCGCAGAGTGAGGTAAGCCTTGCGCTTTCCATCCAAACGTCTCCTCTGGGGTTCCTGCCCAAGTTGAGCGCCTGATGGCACTTGCGGCTCATTCCGCTAGACATTGACCGCATCCTTGGCAACGGGCCTAAGCCATGCCGTTAAGGCAGCCTGGCTGCCCCGATCCGTGTTCTTAGACGAAGCAGCCGCTGTGGCCCGGGCCTTGTCACAGGCAGGGCCTACCGGCCGCAGCCAGTGTGAAAAATTCTCTTCTGACGCATTGTCAGAACCTTGCGGTGCAAAACTGCCCGGGGCATCTTCAGGAACCAAACGGTCCCTCTTCACCGGTCTGAGCCAGGCCGAAAGGTTCGAGGATCGAGAGTCGTCTGCAGGTTCACATGACTTGGTCGAGCGACATCCTTTCCTTCCTCCACCATGAAAGGACACGACAACCTCATCGGCAGTTGGTTCGAAATCCTTCCAGCTCGGTGGCATCTTAACTCCTGACGGCAAGGTGGTGAAGTGTCCATGTCGAAGAAACAGGCACACGGGAGGTCCCTTGGAGGCTGACGGTGGCTGTATACGTGCCATAAACTTCCATTGGTTGGCAACAAACTTCCAAACCACAATATCACACAGCAGCACTCTAGAAGCCGCCATGCACATGTAGTGGTCCACCCACTTGGTGGGACGAGCAACACTGTCAAGGTAACCGGCGGCGGAGTTCGGACATGGGCCGCCTTCAGTGCTTTCCGTGCTGTCCGGATCTGCACTCCATGCATCCCTCCAGCCTTTGTTTTCCTGAAGCCACAGGTGAACTTTGACTCGAAGACTTTGAGCAAGCTTGGCAATCTTGGCCTGCACTTGATCAGCGGGGATCCCGTTGCGCAATGCTTGCGTGGCCGCTAAACAGCGGAGGCCACAGTCACCGCCATTACTACCATAGTCCTGGACAGGTACTCCGTGCGGGCCCGGCATCAGGATCCTCAGCAGTGCCCTTCTCTTCTTCAGTGGCACGAGCCTCCGAAGGCGGTCGTTTCCCTTGCAAAGCCCCCCCCGTGCCAGACGCCCACAGGGGAGTGGACTCAGGTTTAGGCACCGTCTTTTTCCATGGGGCGATGGTCAAGGGCCGCCCTTCCTCCAAAGCAAGGATAAAGCAATCCTCTTTACACGACTCTGGGCGAACCGCAGCGAAAGTCCAGACACCCCCAGGCCGAGCCGGCGGTTGGATGTCTTTAGGGACCCGCCATTGGTGCAACTCCAACATACGCTGGAACTGGGCAGGCGTCCAGTGTTTAGGAACTTGGCGAGCCGCCCAGCGCTTCCTGAGCCCTTCAGCAGCAGTTTCCGGCACTGCCACACCTACCAAACCCAGGCTCGCGCGCCCTCCCCTGCGAAAAGTCAGAGAGGTACTAGCAGCTTCAGCATGCTTCTTGGCTGTCTGCAGATAAGTGCCGGGCTTCACCTTATCATCCCTGGGCAACCAGCGAACGCTCTGAGCAGGCGTTCCAGCCTTCGGGCGTCCCAAAGCAAAGAAGACCCCTCTTTCCCCGGAGAGCGCCAAAACCTCAGCGGTCTGTGAGGGCGGGACTTTAAGAAACCCTATCACAGCAGCTTCTCGCGTTTCAGCATGCCAGCCAAAACTTCGCGTCCACATGCCTTCCGGCAGAATCTCTTCCAGGAGCCGACCCGGCTTGCTCTGGACCAGCTGCCAGTCAGGAGCTGACAGAAATTCTTGCGGACAGACGACCCTGACAGTTTCTTGCTTTTCTTTAGCAGCAAGCTCCACGGGACAGTCAGCAACAAAAGGTTCCTTCCCCCACTCAGGGAGAGCGGCGTTCAGAGGAACCACACTGGCCTTACACCATTCCCCATTGTGCAACTGCACCCACTTGTAAACCCAGTTCATATCAGGCTGCGGGAGGGGAACCACTTCAAGGCAGACAAGAGCTTTGTTTCATCGTTATGTAAGTAGAACCGCTTCTGTTTCCATCATTGTGCATCTTTAAGCTTGCTCATGCAAATTGTGCTTTTCAGACATAGTATATAAGTGGTCTTTAGTGAATACTTCAGCAATCTTTGTCTCATTGTTATGTAGGTAGAACCGTTTCCATTTCCGCAAGTGTTTATTTCGTATTTGGTTGAGTATGGTCCTTTAAATAGTATTCACTTGAGTCAAATTGGGCTATTTGCTTAAGAATTCCTCTAGTAGTTAAATTCGCATAGAATGAATACTTCAAAAAATTGTTTCATGAATATGTAAACATAAGGTGTTTCATTTGACTTTGCAGATAGTACTTCAATAATACTTTGCCTGGCATAAACACAACTGTTTCAATGCATTAGTTGCTCAACAAAGCACTATTTGCCCTTTAAACCACACTTTGCCATATTTTGGTTGAATATGGTGCTTCTTTCGTATTTTGGTTGAGTATGGTCCTTTAAATGGTATTCACTTGAGACAAATTGGGCTATTTGCTTAATCATTACTCTAGTAGCTAAATTCGCATAAATGATTATTTCAAAAAGAAAAACGATTCATGAATATGTAAACATAAGGTATTTCAGTGGACTTTTCAGAGAGCATACTTTGCCTAGTACAAACACAATTGTATAAATACAGTATTTGCACTTTAAACGCACACTTTGCCATTTTTTGGTTGAAAATGGTGTTTATTTCGTATCTTGGTTGAGTATGCTCCTTTAAATAGTATTCACTTGAGTCAAATTGGGCTCTTTGCTTAATAATTACTCTAGTAGCTAAATTCGCATAGAACCAAGAAAAATGTTTCACTATTTGATTAATACTTTGCCTCGTACAAACACAATTGTATAAATAAATTAGTTGCTCAACAAACCATTAATTGCCCTTGAAACGCACAATTTGCATAGAAAAACACTGATCTAAATATCTAAAAACAGCATTGTTCGCTTCAGATTCAAAATGTAGATTCTTCCAATGCTAGCTTATCGGGGTCTGTGAGGTGGGTGTCCCAGTAACTGTCCTTCATTACCCGGTGATTAACTACGCGACTTTTGGGCCTTCTTTGTTGTTTTTTGTTAAAAAGGCCTCAAACGGCCTAAAAAGGGTAGGTCGCTGGGGGGGGTAGCATATATATATATATATGTGCATACACACACGTGAATGTATGTATGTATGCATGCATGTATGTACGTATGTATGAGTGTTGATCGATATTCTTGTGCGAGTCGACCGTTCAGGTCAATCCAATATGAGGCCGGGAAAACTTCCCTCGATCTGCCGGTGACCTTCCCTACTAGTGCATTGTGCCTCTTCGGGTTCGGCTTCGGGCTGAGCTGCTTGTATTTGGACAGCAGGAACTTCATGAGAAGGTGTGCCATCCGTACAATCCTCCAGAGACAAGCTTGAGAGCCGGGGCGGACACGAATCACTCTTCCGGGGTAATGCTGTGCCATGCCACACCTCCTCACCTTTGCTCAGGCGCTCATCTGCATCACATGCAATGAGTTCTTCCTGAGTCCGGACGGGGCACCATATTCGCACGACCGTTTGTGGGCCTGGCGCCACACCGAGGCCGAGGCAGTCGGTTCACAAGCAAGCTCCTGTACAGACCACGGCTTGTGTAGAAGGAGAACCTAGGCAGTGCGCAGCATGGCGCAGCACGGTTGTGAGGCAACGAACATTAACACATTGTTTTCCTCTCTCTTGAGATCTGTCTTGCACTTCTGTTGGTGCCTCTTTCGTCTTTACTGCTGATGTTGGAGAAATGCAGTCTTGTCAGACACGCGCCGAGTACTTCAGTTAAGTCGTTTTGGCAGAGTTTCCCTGCGAGGTGTACTTCGCTGACTGGTCTTGCCCGGAAAAACCAGATCTCCGTTGCAAATTGGGATTTGGGCTTTGCCCATTGAAGGACATCACAATTTTCCAGGGTGGGCCGGATCTGAGTGCCTCGCAACAAACAAGGTGGCGGTCGCAGGAGGTTGTATCAATCCTGCAACCTCCACAGCAAGTTAGAGAGGAACACAGTTTTGTTGGAAATGGTGTGAACTGCTTAAAAATGTTGAGACACTTCACAAGCGACCTCGGGCGGCAACTCATCCAGAAAAGCTTCGTCACTTTCCTTGGATCCGAGACAATGTCGCCACACTATAGCTACATATAGCTACACAGATCTGCGGTGTCTCTGCCCCGGTGCCTCCGAGCAGCTGTGCAAGGCTCCGTGTTGAAGTGTTTGAGGCCAAAGCACAAAAGACACAACAGCCTCTTGCTGGTTTTTGCGCCACATGTACGACCACACATGTCAACACAGCTGCCACAAACACGCGCGAACCCGGCCTGCTGGATGGCTACAACGCAACGGTTCCAAACTGCTTCAAGTCAGGGATACACTACAGTTACCGCAGTACTGGATCTGATCTTGCAGGTGCATTCAATCCTTGTAAGATTGTCGAAGGCGTAGATACACGATTTCTTCCCACCCGCAGCCAAAAAAAGTTGAACTTTTTGGGACTGGGACGTAAAAATGCGGTTGTGCGAAGCAGACGTCTCACACTGCCTCCGATGGTACTTACCCTTCACATGTCCTAAAGTTCGCCCTGCATTCTATTCAAGTCCTCTCCATATTGAACTAGAAATTTAAAAACACAATCTCGAATGAGCCAGTGACCAGATCGAAGGTTGCGCATCAGACACGACAGCTGCATATAGCTCATGGCAATGTAGACCTGTCTCCCCTGTCTCCCCTGTCTCCCCTGTCTCCCCTGTCTCCCTCACACATCCTCACACCATGTCCACCTGGCACTTCTTCGCTGCGAAACGTGAAACAAGCTGCCACAGATCCTGTGCCTCCGCTGTTCTGCAGCAACGGCACGGCAGGAGCAGCTACATATCAACATTAATCTCAATGCATGTCAACGCGCAGCAGAGGCGTCTGTGAATCACTGACCATATCACACGATGGAAACCCGATCATGAATGAACGAGACGAGTTGCTGGTTACTTGCAGACTCTGGGGTGACGCTACTGCCCTTATGTACACGGATGCGTCTCACATTTTTTCAATCTCTTTCCACGACCGCCACTAGGCAGTTCGCTGCAGAAGGTGCACACCAACCTGGGAGGCTTGAAAGAGAGGTAAATCGTTAGGTCTGGCTGAGAACTGTGTTGGATGTGTTGGCTAAGCAGCTTCTGTCGTCACCAGATCGTGCACCTGAGCTCGTCTTGGCACACGAGCCTGCAGAGGAACACGAAATTCGAAAATGGCCTCGCCGACCGCCAGCTCAAAGGCTGCTTTCAGCACTGCCGCTGGAACTTGCGGCCGCACACCTCGAGGACCAGAGCTTTACGACTCTCAAGGCATGTCAAGACTCATGTCCGATTCAATGGAGACACTTTGCCCTGTAGCCGACCTTGCTTCGCACGGTCTTGCTGGATGCCAACACCTTTGACACGATCCAGCCAGCCCATGTCGCCAGCAAGCTCCCCCCCTTTCAGAGCTGATTGGCATTCAGATCTCTCTCGGCACACCTTCCTTGGATGCGAGACTCATTTCAACGGAAACCGCGCTGGAGTATCACCAATATTGGTCTTAGTCTCTGAAAGCTCTTCATACTGTCGGCCTCCAGGTTTTGCAATATCTGTAGCATGTCCGCTTCGGCTTCTTCTTGCGAGCGTTTCACCTCCAGAGTTGCGAGATGTTGCGGCCCTGCTGACCCCTACTGACCCCTACTGAGCCATGCTGCACCTGCTTCCGTCGAACAGGATCCATGACAGGTGGGCCAGAAGCAGCTACTCTGAGCAGAATCTGTCGTAGCCGCACCTCCAACAACACAATGATGCTGCTACAAGCACGACCTTAGAACCTGGAAGATCAGCTTTATCTCTGTGTGCAGCCGCGAGCTCTTGGTCAGCTTTGCCACCATTTTGTCCAGATGCGCCCGTTGTACCAGCAGTGAAGATAGGGCTTGTTGAGGCAGCCTGCACAAAGTTGTCCAAAATCAAGGACTGCGAAGGACTGCGAAATTGTGACCCTCTCTGGCCTTCAGCCGCTTAGCAGGCAACTCGCCTGACCTTCAGCTTTGAAGAGTCCATTGCCGCGGTGACAACTCTCATGGTCCATATGACATGATGCAACAATATGCAACACGCACTCCGGGAATCCTGCTGGGCATCGCGCGTGCCCTCTGTGGGCACCAGGCGCGCACACACAACGGCCAAGGGTTCGGTGAGCCCTGACTGCCTTGCTGACCGCAGCAGTGTTATGGAGCCTTCCGAACGGGGCAGGCAAAGTCAAAGAGCGTCTGCGAATCTGCACACCAAATCTGAAGCATCTTGGCATTGTGGGTAACCGGCACCTGTCCGTGCCCAGCCCTTGACGAGCTGAGATGCCAGGGAAGACTCAAAGGCCTCTTCCCCCAGGAGGCCTTTGCCCCTGACAAGCACGTGCACTATTGACACTGTTGCACATATCGCATCATGTAACCTGCCAAGCTGTGTTCCGTGCTGGCCACCCAGGCTGCAAGCAGCATAGAGACAGTGCCCGTCTTTCCTTGAAGGATTTGAAACATTTGAGACGCTCGTGTGTGTGGTGCTCACATTGCCAGGTCACAACGACAGACTCGCGTTTGACGAACTGGCGGAAGAAGCCGTCGAAGAAGGTGGTGGCAGGGAGTTGCCCTGGTAGTTAAAGTGATCAACAACGACTGCCCTGCTACAAACACTGAGCCACTCTCCACGCTCTCCATGTCCTGCGGACGCATCGTCAGACGAAATGCAGCTCCTTCGGTAGTAACAGCTGTCGCCCTGCAGCCAATGATGACAACCACTGACCTGCAGCCGGCGCCCAAGCCATGAAGGCTCTATGACTCCATGAAATATGCAGAATCTGCAAAAGAATTCTACTGTTTGCCAGGCAACACTGGGCTGGCCCCAGCGGTTTCTTGCAGCACACTCTCCACTGCAGTGCGAAGCTTCTCCTCCGACCAGCAACTTCGTGAGGCACCGAGCCGCTTCACCTGCGGTAGACGATGCAGACTTGTTCACTTAAAGACTTTGCTTGATGTTTGGATTCTCGAGCGATCTGAGGCTGCTACCAGTTTTTCTGGGAAGGCTCTAGCCGTCATCTCACCACCTCCAAAAACGCCGAGCATGGCAGCAGGCTTGTCGATGTGCGCAAAGTCCGTCTTCCTGGGCTGCGGATGCTGCAGTAGCCCGGAACGAGGAGTTGAAATGTTTCTCAGCTCCCGTGAGATATCTTGCGACGTGTTTTCACACGCTTGACGGAGGCTCAAGGCAGAGGCGACGCGGTGAAGATCGGGAATCACAACGGTTTTGGCATTCTTCGCGCCGCTGGCGCCGCTGGTGCCGCTGGCAGCGCTGGCCTCTGACTTCCCACGCTGCGAACGCATTGCTGTACTGCGTTCGTCGGAAAATGGCATGGATGCTGCATCTGCAAGGCACTTTACTTCTCTGTTGCTTTAGTCCTCTAGGTCTGATGCGGCAGCAAAAGTCCGCCCGCTTGCCTTCATTTGTTTTTATGAATACTGCCATGTAGCCTCTGAGCTGGAGGCAGCTCCGCCGCCGAAAACAAGCGGAAGTGCCTGACCTTCATAGAGCTCCTAGCACTCATTCAGCAGCTTCAATCAGTTTCAATCTCTGATTGCTTGGCGTCCTTGTGCTCGCCAGTTTCTTCGTCAAACCACAACAACTGTCTCGTGCTCTGCACCCAGAAGATTTTGTCCTCGGCGTTTCAAGCAAGAATTTCTAAAATGCCAACAGCGGGGCCAACAGCACCGCTTACCTCGCCTCACGCCACACGATGCCACACGGAAGCAGTGCTGTTGAGTCTCGGCCCGGTTGTAGTACCAGCCAGCCTTGTCCGTTTCTTCGAAGCCAGACGGCACTGCATCTCCAGCACCCTAAGAAGCACACCATCGGGCCAACATCGAGACATCTGAACAATATTGAAGAAGAAAACATGTGATGCTCGAGGCACGTAAACCTAGGCCCAAAGCCTGCTTTGCAAAGAGCTCGGGGTTGTTCGCCTTGAGCTTCCAGAGATCTTTACCACCTCAAGCCAAGCCGTATGTTGAAAGTTGAGAGTTTTCAGGCATCGTATGGCATCGTATGGCATCGCATGGCATGGTATGGCCAATGCGGCCGGCGGCTGTTGCCACTGGTATACCATATATTTGCGCTGCTCACACCGGCTTGCCGTTCTTGCTTCGCAGTGAGCACTGCAGAGAACCTTAATACAACATTGGCTCATTAGCTATACAAACCTTGAAGACTGGCAGCCTGCTGGCAGTTGCTAAACTGAGACGCAAGCTTATTGGCCATGGCAAACACAGTTCACCGTAAAACAAGCTGGTCGTGACTATTGAGAACTGGGCTTTTTGCAATCGGAACAGTATCCTTAAATATTTGGATGGCAGCCGCAGCATGCTGAAGATGAATTGCATCAGTCCTTATCAGTTCTCCCTCCCAAAGTGGCTCAAGCTTGAGCGGCTCGTGCTGCTGGACAGGCCACCCTCAACTCGACGATGTTCATGGTGCGGACGTCACTCAAGCCTGCCTGGCGATTGCTGACTGTCGATCGTTATCGATCGGTAGCCCCTTGTCTTCCCAATCTAAGAAGCAGGATCGACTTGAGCTGCCAGGGCTTCTGAGATGAGGAACGGCTGCCTAGGGCCTGGGACGCTGGGTTGCGAGATGCGAGCGAAGGCACTGCATACTCAAATCGAGGCATCCGGCGGCCAACCCCGGCAGGATTTCCAGGATTTCCAGGATTTCAGCTCAACAGCATCCGCCACAAAGACCCGCATAATATCTCTAGGCTGAAGAATCGTGGGTGCTAACCGGGCGCTCGCAAGTCTTCTTTTTACCCGCTCAGAGTCGTCGGTGCCAAGCCGCTCGCTTGGGTTTTGGCCAGGAAGGGGTACTCTCCTGGCCCCAAACCTCCCAAGCCTTAGGATATCCATGCCCCTGTTAGCTCTGGGCCAGCCTCAAGACTTTAATTTGAACAACATGTGGGTTTTCATGATGAAAATTAAGAATAAGTCAAGGAAAAGCGAGAATGCAGCTACAGCTAGAATAAAGTGAGACTGGAACAGTATGTAAAATATGAAGTATGTAAAATATGACGTGGGAATTAGTGAGAAAGGATGCCGTACAGTACACACATTCCTCTTACTTCTCAAACATGTTCCTGTGTTCCATTTTAATCTCACTGCCTGTCTCATGTCAATCTCACTCAATTCCGAGGTTCCTGTCCTGTTGTATTCTCACTCTCTTCTCCCGTTTAGAGTTGCTCCAGGCAATCTTAGCAGAAACCCACGCGCCTGCCAGAATCCTGCCGGCGTGACAAGGCCAACAACCGGAACCGGGGCCAACCGCCAAAAAAACATCAAATCCTTCCGTTTGCCCACCCAGCAACATACTGGCACCCAGTGATGCTAAGCACTCCTGCCCCACTGTCTCGTCAGCTCCCGCCTATTGCCTAGCAGGCGCTTGGGTTTTGTCCGGCATATGGTTCGTTTATGGCACCAACAGCGGAGTCTCCCCCCTCGCCAAAGTGCTGCACTGCGACATGGCACCAGTGGCTTTAGGCAAGGAAGTAGAAGTGCTTAGGAGGGCAGAGGCTCTAAAAGGCGGTTGAACGCACATATGTGAGGCCACGCGAATGAAGTACTTTGAGCCCCTCCGACCGGAATCCTGGACAATGCCAAAAAAACCGCAAAAACACATCCGAGCATCTTCCAATACGACGCGCCATCTTTCAGAGCATCGAGAGCATCGTGAACGATGAAAGCAATGCAGCTCGGGCAGGGTGGAAAAGAAGCTTTTTCGACTGCGAGCTTTCGGTCGCGGCTGGTCACCGACTGCCAGTTCTGTCCGTGTCTCCCTGGCATCCTGCAATACACAGACGGCAAGAGACCACTCGTGCTCCAGCACTCGCTTCAACGGCATCCGGCTTGAGCTCGATCGTTTAAGCAAGCCACGGATCAGTTCTTCGGGGCCTGCAGATATGGATCCACTGGGAATGCAGAAGTCGACATCGCAAATCTTGTCCATGAGATCTTTCTTGGATCCCAGGAAAGGAGCTTGGGACAGGAGCATCTCGTAAAGGAGGACCCCAAGAGCCCACAGATCTACACCTTCATCATGCGGCTCGCCACATAACATCTCGGGTGAAACATACTCCAGTGTCCCACAGAAGGTTAGTCTTGGACCATCTTTCAGCTCGACGCACCAACCGAAATCACCAACCTTTGCCAGCAGCTCGTCACCAAAAAGGAGGACGTTCTCCTATCGCGAGGCTCCGGATGGTTCTTCTGGGGTCTTTTCAGACGAGAGAAACTGGGGCTTACAATGGTTCACACATGACGAAGAAACGACGGCCTCGCGCGGGAAGAAACAGTTCTATGAGCAAGGTAACACTGTGAAGCCCCTGTCATGAACCTCCATTCATGCTATGGCCACGCACACGCACTTGTTTGGCAGGGGAGGTTCTTGCTGAGTCCTTTATTTAAGATCCAGATATTGGAGGCACTCAGGCGAGCTTGGTATCCTGATGCAGGCTAGGTTTTACAGCTCGGAAGGGTCCTGCTTAATATTCCGGCGGCTCAAGCTGCGCACCATTCAACTCTTGGGCACCACCAGGTCACCACCAAAGCAACGCCAGCAACGCCAGAGAAGGAAACGAAAGACGCAAACGAAAAGAAGAGCAAAACAAAAACGGACTGTCGTGACTTTGCTTGGTGACGCTGGTAGTCAACGAGTCAACGTGCCAGTACGCTTGTTGTATCTTGTTGTGCCGAGCGGCGGGCTTCAGGTCTCGGTGTGCAACTTGAAGGCTGTGCAGATAGTCAATACCTCTGGCTGTATCGAAGAAGAAGCTGGCAGCTCTTGGCTCTGAGAGGGGCCCTGCTTTTAAATATGCAAAGAGCTGTCCCTTATCTGCAAACTCGAGGAGGCAATAGATCTTGGCAGCGTCTTCAAAGTAGTAATGCAGTCGGACAAGGTTTTTGTGTTTGACTTTCAGTTGGGTCAACACCTCCCGCTTCACCTGCTCTCCCATATTCTTCTCCATGACGCGGGCTTTCTCAATGACCTTCATGGCATAAACATTGTCATTCTCCGAGTTCACACACTTCTGCACCACTCCAAAGGAGCCAGCACCGAGGTCGCAGGTAGGAAAGAACTGGGACAGAGAATACTCACAATGTTCTGCGTTGGTGAGCTCTTCCGCGCTGCCTACCTCATGATACGGAACGTCATGACTCATCCTCGTCCGCGCCAAATATCATGCCGTCGCACTTGCAATAATGCGTCCAGCATTGCCACAAGACTAACTATACTATGACGCACGAGGCTTTTCTGGCCCATGTTGAGACGACTTCTCAAAGTTGGTTAATGGAGATGATGCGTATTGTCAGTGTCCTCTGTGTACTTGCCTGGCTAATACTTGGCAGCAGCACTTGAGTGTCTCACGCACACTTTTAGCCGAATTGTCTACCTCACAGGCTCGGCGGTTAGAAGCTGGCAAGCGCTTTCATGGAACAGAAGAAACCTCGACTCGCACATGTCTTCTCTTTGCCATCAAATCTCAAGGCACGTAGAGGCTGACAGATGCTACTGCAACTAAGGCAGCTCACAATGGCAGCAAAACGCTGGAGGGACGGTTCCACCATGACACGAGTCAGTGCCTGTTGCACTCACAAATCCATGCCGATAAAAGATGCTAAAGTCAGCCTACATCCTGGCATGGCGCAATGCGACAGTTCTCTCAAGTAAGTGTCGATGGAGCTCACACGTACAACCTTGCCCCACCAGATCTGCTTGTCCAGTACCAGGTGCTGTTTTGATCTGTCTTGCATCGCACAAATGCTTGCATAAATTTTCATGAATTTCATACCGTTGGAAGGAACAGTGTCAAGCACGGTCCGGCACGGTCCGGCCAGATTGCAAGTTTTCTGGGCTTCAATTGTTGGGTAACACGTGCGGTAGGTGCTGGACACCTCTTCAAGATGCGGCCATGCGCTTCCAAATTTATCCAGGACCAATTTTGCTCGGAAACGGTCAAGGACAGCTCAAATCTGCGGGACATTCTGAAACAAAGTGGTGCACCAACTGGATCACTTCGTGATCGAGCTTTTCTGCACCAAACTTCCCAGAAGGCCGTGAACATGCAAGACTGCACGGCGGCAGCGGCTCTCCATCAGGAGCACGAGACTCTTCGGAGCCTTGCAGGTACGTTAGGCAGAACTTCGGCCGAGAAATGCTGAGATAAGAATAGTTCAGGCTCATACAGTACTAGAGTTCATTGACATTCCAGCTGCATCCACTCAGCGCAGCCCGGTCCGCCTTCATCCCCAGGCCCGAAAACCTTCAGAGCCGGAGAGGATGCGACGATTGCACACATTGCACACCAAGACACGCAAACAAACAAAAAAACATACAAACAAAGCCAGCCACGAAAAAGCGGGTGTGACGAAGCAGTGTCATGCGCTCAAATGATGAAAAACTGATGCATATCCGGCATATCCTATCTCTGGGCAATTTCTGGGTTTCAAGCGCAGGGTGAGGAATTGATTCTCCAGCTGCCTCGGTTTGGCCGCACAAACGCTCAGCATCTAACTTCGCACATGTGGCAAATGTGAAGCCTTGAGCCAGTTGTTTCCCGACTGGTGTCTTTAAACTTGTCGATACGGTTACGTGGCAAATTAAAACCCCGCGTTCGGCCGTCTGCATCCCCAGTGCAGACTGTGCCATGAAAATGTGGGTTTTTTAGTATTGCAAATCGACGGTTTTGGGCACAACTACCAAAGTACGTCATTCACATGTGATGAAGGACTCTGCCACACCTGACAGCTGCGACTTCCTAATTCAGGTCTTGATGTGTTGAATGTTGACAAACCCTCGAGTCGAAACCGCACGCTTAGATGAAGCTGTATGCTAAGGCTTGGTCCTGACACATCCCGGATCACCCCGCTAACATGGGCGAACACGTTCTAGGTTCTAACACCCATACTATGTTGATCATTTTTCAAGTGGGAGTCACCAGCTGTGTCTGTTCTAGACATTGATTCTGGGACGAGGCATGGCATGTGGATGCATGTGGCGTTCGAAGTGTTTCAATGCGGCTGCGCAATTGATGCTAGGTGCAAGATTTGGGAGCCTGAGAGAATAGCTAAGCGCGATGATTCCTAGCGAATGGCATCTCGATCATGGCTGCAGCCCCTAGCCCTTAACTAGCCTTGCAAGACTCTGTGCAAGCAAGTGCAGGATGAACACCGAGCAGTGATCGAAGATGTGGGGCTTGAAAGTTTGAAAGCCGAAAAGCCCAGAAGCCCAGAAGCTTTGCCTAACAGCGACTCAGCTGAGGGGCTCATCCTTCCAAATCATCTGAGTAACATGCCTTAGAATGTAGTGACGAGCAACTGCAATTCAACGCGGCAGGCAAGGCTAAGCATGCAACTTTTCTTTGTCAAGAACAAGCTCGTCGTTGATAAACAGCAAAACATCGCCCGCACGAATATCTTCTGGCGTCGCCTGTCGCGCTAGAGCACAACGCAAGCTGGATGTGAGGAGCTCTGCCAGCAGATCACCCAAGCCTTGGGACAGTGCTTGCTGAGAGCCTTCACGCACGCCCCTTGCTCCGTGAATTTCCAGACGATGGATTTCATCTGCAGACAAGGGCAAGGGATGAACGGCCAGAGCGCTGTCTATTTCTCTCTTTCTCTCTCTCTCTCTCTCCCTCTCTCTCTCTCTGTCTCTCTCTCTGTCTCTCTCTCTCTCTCTCTCCGTCTTCTTCTTCTTCTACTAGGCCTGAGGGGCCCTTTGAGGAGGTCCCCAGGCGCGAGAGCGCACCCGTGTCCAGTCCGGTAGTGACACGGACAACTGAAGGCTCAGTGTGAAGTGCTCCCCCGATCTCCCCCCCGCTCGCTCTCTCTCTCTCTCTCTCTCTCTCTTCCTTTTTCCTTGCCCCAAGGGACGCGAAAGGTGATGTCTTGCTTGCTTGCTTGCAGCGTACATAGTCCCCGAAGGGACCGCCTTAAGGGGCGTGCTCAACCGAGTCAGTCGGTGTGAAAAGTTTCTGCACGTTTCCACTCTCTCTCTCTCTCTCTCTCTCTCGATCGGCTACTTCCGAACCGAGGCTCTACAATGTCTAATGGCCGGTGTCCTGGTCAACGTTGTCAGCATCGAGTACCAATGTAAGTTCGACCGGTCGCTCAGGAGGACGGATGACCTCAAGCAGCGAGGTACTCTCCATGAAGACAGGCTTTAGCCAAAACTGAAACAGCCTCCGATTTCCTTTGAAAGCCATCCTGGCCAGCTCCAGTGAAGAGCTCCGACTCGGAGGAGTCCGGCGACGCCCTTCACTTTACTTTACATGCACCCACATGCTTGCCACACCCCCAATTTACACTAATGGCAACAACACTTCTAACAGCTGCTGAAGCAGTGGCAGAATGCAATCTTCCGAGGCGGCAGCGGTGGCTGAGACAACATGCGCTGCTCAGAACCTGCAGCGAGCTTCATTGGGTTCATGCTACCAGCATGTTCTATTGAAATGAGCTCGGAAAAACACACACGTGGAAGCTTGGAAAAGCCTTCAGGTAGCCTCGAGCTGCGCCGCGAATCTCGCCTGCCTGTCGTTCCCAGCGACTTAGTGAGGCAGCTGTTGTGAGGGTGAAGTCATTCAAGCTGGTTGGGATGTCTAGCTTCGAGGTGTGGTATGGTCTGCATCTGCACAGGGTCATCTCAGAGTCATCTCGAAGTCTTCAGGAGCCCTTGAGGCGACTTGGCCGAGCTCTGTTGGACTCTAAGACAAGTCTGAGTAGGGCTGCCATCTGCATGCCCCTTCCCCCATAGGGCTGGTCCTTTATGTCCTTTCAGGCGCTCAAGACGACATGATCTGGCTGCCCCTGAAAACTGGAGAAGCCTTCCGTACGGAGTAAGTCTGCATTTTCGAGCTGAACAACTTAAAAACATGCAGGCTTCAGACGAATTCGCACTCAGTTGTGACCAACTTCCTATCCTAGAACCAGTCATGGAGAAGCCAACTAGCAGCACCGTGCTGCACCATGCTGTATTCCCATCCTCCATTGAAACTTGCAGTTCATGAAAAGATCATTTTTCCAAATCCTGGCTTTGGGTTCTCCCCCATACGCTGGCATGTGGAGCGGGTACTGCTCTGGATTTGTAACGACAACTTCCAGCCAGTCTTGACAAAGGCAGTTTCGCTTAGTTGAATCGCGCTATGGTCGGCTGCAGCTAAACTGTTTAAACCGTTGCGTTGTTGTTCTCTCCAAATGACCGCGAGGGCAGCTTGGTTGATAAGGGCCAGTGACTGTCAGTGTGTTGTCCCTATGGCTTTCGCAACGTGTGGCATTCGTGAGGGGGTACCAGTTGTCTTGTTGCGTCCTATTGCGTGGCCGATTGAAGTTTGAGTGATCCTAGGGATCCTGGATCCGAAGGAGTTTAACGCAACCACATTCTCCAGACCCTAGACATCCCTGCATGCCCCTGCTTCAACATGTGCAAAGGATTCACCAGTCTGCCGAGAATCAATACAGCACATTACAGCACCCCACTGGACTGGGAGGCGGCTGGATCCCTCAAAGTGGGGTGGGAGGGGGGTGGCGCTTGGGCGAGGAATGCTCCGGCATTCGTCGCACTGCATGTCCTTGAGCACACAACGTGTGCAACACAACATAAACTTAAGGGAACGTGCGGACGCGATGGGGTCTGGGGTCATGTCTGGTCACAGACAGCAACACAGTTCTCGTTTTCGGCAGCACCCACATCGGATACGAATGACCTCCAAAATCCTGACCAATGCCAAGCAAACGCTCGATTTCCAGACCCCGTCCGAAAGTTAGACAAAGAGCATGCCGAGTTTGTTTCCGAAAAAGGAAGACCATGTAGACGCAACTCTAAACAGTTATTCGCCGAATCCGAGGCCTCGGACCATAGGTTTCGGGGGAGCACAAAAAGTACCTCTAATGCCCTTCCCAACACACCTGGCGCGGTTTGCTCACCGTTTATGGACCTTTTTGCGTGGAATGGGTACCCCACTCGCCGACAGGGGTTCGCAAGCGGACGCTGACAACCAGCACACCGATTCCAGCAAACCAGAAACAAGAATACCATGCAAGCATGCTATCCAAGACTCTCCATTCAACCCCAAAGAAACTAGACGTTGGAAGCCGCAAACTCTAAACTTTACTAAACAGCCCTAAATCCTCTCAAAAACCTAAGCCGAAACACACCACGATAGCCCCAAACCACCCTGCAAACCCTTACCATCAAACCCTACAAACACAAACGCTAACCACCATCAACATCTGTCAACCCTAAAAACCTAATTTTCATTCCGAAGGAGCATATACTCAATACGAGCACTTCGCATCCACTCCGTATTTTCTTGTCTTCACAGCTGTGGGCAATTCCGAGTCTGAGTTCTAGTGAACAGCTCCTGACACACAGGAGGTAATTGCATTGGTAACATCCGGACCGCTTCCGGGTCCCACGGTAGCCGGGTCAGAAACGCCTGATTCCTTCAGGTGACCCTCACGCTCCCGGGACGCATGACTCTCATGCAGCCCCTGTACCTCCGAAGGATGGTACTTCCCAAGACACGGATGACTCCACGGGAGCTCGGTGTCTCAGGGTGGGCGGGTGGGAGAAAAGAAATGTTCCAGCTTGCCAGTTTGGCTCTAGCCAAGTCTTGAGCCAAAATGTAGCAAGCCGGTACATTGCATCCTCAAAATGAAACATGCACACCCAAGGCCTGCCTAACTCAATGCATGTGCACATTCCGAAGGAGCATATACTCAATACGAGCACTTCGCATCCACTCCGTATTTTCTTGTCTTCACAGCTGTGGGCAATTCCGAGTCTGAGTTCTAGTGAACAGCTCCTGACACACAGGAGGTAATTGCGTTGGTAACATCCGGACCGCTTCCGGGTCCCACGGTAGCCGGGTCAGAAACGCCGGATTCCTTCAGGTGACCCTCACGCTCCCAAGGCACTCACCCCAATGCACTTCACTACAAGTACTCGAACACCTGGATAGCTGCTTCCAGCGGTAACGCCCAGAGCTGAAATGGGAAGAAAGCTAAACTAGTGGAGAAGGAGTGCGACTGATGCCATTCGTCGTCGACTCCCAGCCTGCTAATGGCGTCGCTCCAATTGGATTTGGACGGCACCCATTCCCAATATATCCAGGTTTGGAAGACAAAGAGACACAAATGTATCAACTGCGCCAGGCGGGACAAATCAGAATTGTCGGACCTCCCGCGGATGAGGGCCATCAATGCCGCAGTGTTGTCGATGTACCAGATTCCGCGCCTCATGCGAAATCTTGCAGGCCGAGCCACCAGAGCGAAAAGCACCATGCTGAGCTCCAGCTGTGCAATTTTCTTGTCGCCCGGTCCCCAAAGGGCATAAAGCTCCTCCGGACATGCCGCGACAAAACCCTCTCGGACCTGGCTCGCACCTTGCTGCCAAATCAAGAGGAAACCTCCGGTTCCGGCTTGAGGCTTCTCCTCTGCTGCGTCACTCGCAGCTATGAAGCGTTGCACTGGTGGGTTGGACACCCAAAAGCGCCTCTCAGGACGAAATTTTAGGAGTGCGCGAATAAGCTGAAACGTCTGGAGGATGTCCGGCGAGAGGTCGGATTCTTTGCTGCGCTGCCTGTCACACAGAGCAGCGAGGCCACCGCATCCGACTCGTCCATACATGCCCTGCTCCAAGAAGTTCATCAGGCCAAACATCTTCGCAGCAAGCCCGGCCTTGAGCGAAGACGCAGTCTCGGATTGCTCGATGAGGTCGGACATTTTGGTGAACAGGCGTTCTCTCGCCCAAAAGGTGACGAACCCCCTCTGCAAGGCTTCGGAAAGGTCGTGGTCCAAGCCCAAGAAGGATCCTTGAACTGCCATGGGTTGCCTCTTCTCTTCGGCAAACGGCGTTCCCAGACACTTGTTGAGCTCTCCGACTGCCCATTGTCCGCTTCCTTTGGAGGAGGACCAATCCACCATATTGAAGTCATCAAAGTAGGAAGAGGTCACTGTGAGCGCCACTCTACGTGACGCAGCTTCACTGAATCTGCTGTACCGATTGAATGACGTGACTACAAGAGGCAGGCCGAAAAGGAGGCCGGAGTAGATCTGGAATGCCAGAGCCTGCCATTCTCGGTGCCACCACACCACCAGGCAGCACAACGCCTCCTCTTCTGACATAGGGCAATGTCTGTAAGCATCCGGCCAGTCTTCGCCTCCGGACTCAAGGGAGTCACCCCCACGTAAATGCAGTTACGTGGGAGGGTCCCATCGGCACCAATGACTGCTTCCACAACTTTCCTCGGCGGGATCCGAGCTGCTTCTTCGGCACTAGCTGGCCCCAAACCCAAAGAGATGGCAAGCGGTGCCAGCGCCCATGACCGCAAAGATCTCGGATCCATCAGTGGCCACTCCTCACGCCGCCTCACGCAACAGGGCGTCGGCATGCGCGGCACAGCCAGCTTCGCTCGGCCCACCCGGACGGCCCACCATGACACGGAAACGGCAACTGCAAAGACAAATGGCGCTGTGTACTCCGCCTCCTCCTTGGTGGGGTACACGTATCGTCCATTCAGCAGATACGGTTGCCACTCGTCACTGGCATGCACATGGTGGCATTGGAGGGGGGGCCATGAGGATATCTCTGGGATGTTGTTACGAAGGCGCTGCCTCTTGCATCGGGCTCCTCCCCAACAACAGGCATCATAATGAGTATCCGCCCAGAGCCCTGCGCGGAAAGCTGCCACCTCTTGCTGAAGTAGCCAATGCAAGCTGTTCACCGGATTCTCTCGCATTGCCCCAGCTCCTCTCTCCGCCACCTCTTGCATGACTTGCAGCATAAAGCCACACGCATTGTTGTCACGCTTGACGCGGTGCTGATCCGCCGGCGACAGGCCGTCCAGTCCCTCGGGTTGTCGAGTAGAGCGGAGGGGACCTGGGCCCTGGCGCCCATCATCGAACACCCTCGGCACCTCCCTCGCTCTGCTTTTGGTGGAACAGTCGAACGCCGCGGACACAAAATCGGCCTCCTTGAGCTGCTCCCTGAGGCTCTGCTGCCGAAGGGGGTGTGCCAGATCATGCGAGGAGGAGTCCAGTTGAATATCCAACGTCAGGCAGCGCCATCCACAGAACAGGAAAGCTTTCGTGAGCGGGGCATTGGGACCAGAAAAGATGTCTGCCATCAACAGCGATTCCGGATCTTCGGAATCCGTGCTAGACCCCGAGGAGGGGGTCGCCTCCCCCCCTCGGGGCCCCATCAGGCCTTCACTTTCTGCTTGCAGTCCTTAGCCCCATGCTTCGTTGAACCACAGACTCGCTCGCCTCGAAGGACAATCCCGCACATGTGCCGATCAGGGCACTTGCAACGTCCTTGCTGGAACTCGACGCACAGACGCTTGCCATCCTTCATGACTCTGGCCACCTTCTTGCCCGCTACCGGGGTGCCGAGCTAGAACGAGGAAAGTTTAGGCGGGCTCAGTAGCTGGGTAGTTGCCGCGGCCAGCATCTTCGGTGTGGGATTGCGGCTAGATTCTCCTGGGCCTCCGCTTTGGATGGCGACCCAGCGCACGTCTCTGAGATTGAACACCTCACGCACGACTTGGCCGAGTGTCTTGGTGGACTCGCGGAACTTGGCCACCCAGACTGCCCTCTCCTCGGAGTCTCTCTGCTCCACCCATTCCAGCCGCTTGTGTGCTGGTAGCGAAACCACCGACCTCTTGGCGCGGTAGTAGTACTCCATAAGGACGTCCAGTGGCGCCTGGACAAAGATCGTGGAGTCCGCTCCAAGCGCGTGCTCCTGATTGGCCTGGGGCGCTCCCGCCACCTGATCCACCCCTGCCAACGCGTAGGCTGTCAAGAGGATGTGGAGGCGGTCGAGGTAGTTTTCCCAATCGTGCGGGACTGACTCCTCCTGCTCCGTCTCCTCCGTGAACAGGCCGTCCCGCAAGCGTCTCTTCTTGCTGGTAATAACCAGCTGGAACTGCAAGCTCTTGACCTTCCATACGGAGAAAACGCACAGGAGGCGCTTGTTTAATTCTCGCGTCACTCGCGAGAGTGTTGCATCCGAAGGATAGAGCTCGGGGGGGAATCTGGCACGATACCTGCGCCAGAATTGCTGCTTCATGTCACGCAGGCTTGTATCATCCAAGAGATCGTCCAAGTCTGATTCGCCGACTTTGGTCCTCCCTGCGTCAGCATGCTGAAAGAAAACCTTCACTGCAGCCCAGGTGCGCCTCAAACGTGCGGTTTGCACGCCCTGGACATCGCCCAAGTTGAGTCTCTGAACCCAGACCCCTATCTCGGCTTCCGACTCGAAGAAGTACCGGAATTCCTCAAGGTTCTTGAGCTTGGCCTTGACCAGGGCCTCGAGGATTTCATCAGCAAATTCGAAATTGAGTTGCAGCGACACAAGTGTAGCACGAAAATCCGCCGTCTCTCGGCACTAAGTGAAAAGATGCCATGGCTAGGCCGAAACCGTGGTCACTCCACACCCCTGCACTAAGGATCGGCCGGGCCTTGGGCTGACAGCTGCGCGAAATCCTGCGAGATCGAACGGGGGGGGGGAGGTGCGAGGGCTTAAGAAAATTAAAAAAGACTGTCGTGGACGCATGCACTGCCTAGCTGCCTAGCTCACAACAGCCACTCTGTTGCATGGCAGACACGGCTGGCTCACAGCCGAAACCACATGCTACACCGCCCCAGGCCCTAGCATGTGCGCCCCAGACAATCCTTTGCATGGCAACCTATGTCGGACGGGTACGCCCCACTCCCTACGACAAGCTCTGCGCTTGTCCTGGAGTCCTAAGAACGATGCCGTTTCAGCACCTGCGAGGGTCACGACCGGAGCCTTATCAGAGAGCGGAATTCGTCTCTCTTAAATGCAGCATGTTATCCACCCGGTAACTCCGGGGGATTGATGCACAGCCCCTCTGCACACTCACTTTGGGTGGAACTTCGCTGCTGCCCGCTGGAGGCAGTCTTTGCAGAAGGGACGATAGTAGCCCTGGGCTTCCTCCACGGACTCAACCTCGGTCACATCCTTGAGCCTTTGGCTAGCAATGGACCCTTGGCGATGCTTGCAAAGAGGCACTCCTTGCTCCACTTCCAAGTGAATCTGGGACCGGTCCGTGAAGATGAATGCTCGAGGGGATGGCCAAACCTTGCCCGACATGCTGTTCTTTCGGGTGTAGCGGACCCACTTCGCCACCGTGCCCTGAGCCATTGCCTTGTGGATCTCGACGTCACGTAGACGGCTGACACGCCTCTGGGCTTCCTCGAAGCTGATGTTGTCCACCAAGGCCAAGAGGAGGGACTGCCCAGTGGCAGCTCGATGGCAGCCAGCCATGCAGTGGCCCAGGACACTACCTCCTGTGAAGAGGGTCTGGCGAATGACTGGCCAGGCTTCGCGCCACTGATCGTCCCGAGACGTCGAATCAGTGACGCTGATCTGGAGTTGCAGGGCACCCGGCAACGCCACGCCACCACGTGCTGCCACTGCCTGCTGCATCCAATTGTGAGCTGAATGTCACAGCGCGGAAAGGAAGACGCTGTGTCCGCCGTAGGCAGCCCTGCCAGCCACAAGATACCACCATTCGCTCCTTCCCAGATCTTCGTAGGCCGCTCCGCCGAATTGCCACCCACTGTAGCCAGACGATCGAAGTGCACCTCCAGATTGCTCGCCCCACTCCTCCGAGGCCAGGTGTCAGCCCCTGACTGCCCAGGGCGCTTCTCTCGAGGTCTCATCGAACTGAAAAAGGCCGGCGGCGGGGTTTTTGGGCGGCCGTCGGAGTCTGCTCGGAGGCGGGCCCACAGGCTCTGCAGGAATCCGCCGCGGGGCTTCAGGCGGTGGCCTCACGGGAACTGCTGGGGATTCCATCCGCTGCCGCTTCAGTGGCGGAAGAAGGTCGCTGGCGTCACTCGCCAGCGCGCGCCGCTGCGGCCCCTTCTTAGGATGAGGCGGCAATGCCGCAGCCTCCTCCTTCGCCTGCGCACTAAGCAAGGCCAGCCCTAAGCCCAACGCTTGAAGCCCAAAGCTCAGGTGGACCCTCAGACCATGAGATGCTTTCGAACAGCGAAACAAAGAACTTGAACACAGACTGCAAAATTTCCCCAGGGTCCTCGCCGAACTCGCCCAGCCTGACCACTCCGAGCGACGACCTGAGCACTTCAGCGATGCAAACAGGGTAACTCCCTGCCGCTCACAAGAAAATGGTGCTTGCGGGGTCACTCCCCGCCCATAACACATGTGCATTTGTGGGTACCGCAAATTGGAGGTCCGCCCCGGATCCCCACACTCGACTCCAGTCTCCTCTCAGTCGCTCTCACTCCCAGAGCCACTGTCGGACAGGGGCCGTGACGCCATGGCCACCCGTGCCTGCAAGCAATCACGGCACATTGCTGACTGCAAGATCTGGTGCACGAAATCCCCTAACCCCCGCAGTCCACACAGACCGCAGGCATAGACCGGCCCGCGGGGTCTGCCGCCCATCGTAGCCAAAGCAGCATAGACCGATGGGCTTTGTGCACCGTGCCTGGCTGGGCGTGGGCTTTGGGAGTAAGAGTGGATCGCGCCAGGCCCGTTGTCCCTGCTGCCAGGTTCGCCAAGCCCGAAACACATCGTCCACAGAGGGATGGGCTGCGCCGTGGAGGTCGTTGATCTCGGCCTGATAGAGCACGCGCCCAAATGTAGCGGTGAGCATATCCTGCAGCTCCAAGCCCGAGCTAGCATCCCACATCCTGTCCTCTGCAAGAACTTCGTGGCAACGATCGTAGGCGGCAAAGGCCACCGCTGGCCCCAACTCAGGCTCCTCCACGATGGCTGCACTCTTGGACCAGGGGCCAAGGAAGGGGAATTGGTAACCACCTCTGGCTCGCCCGCATCGATCACACCCAGCCTGGGTACAGACAATCCGGCGCACCGGAACCTTGGAACCCAAGAAGTCAAAGTCTGTAATCGAAGGGGAGGGTGCCGGTAGGTGTGTAATCTCAGCAACCCGACTCCAGATGGACCACAACTCGTCCTGACGGCCCTTACGTGCCAGATCAGACATGTAGGCCCGGAAGTCCAACCAGTTCGCGGGAGCCAAGGTCGGCAAATTTGTGTGAATGACTGTAGGCTCATCATCCATTGCGACACAGGGATCACTTCCCTGGGAGAAAAGAAATGTTCCAGCTTGCCAGTTTGGCTCTAGCCAAGTCTTGAGCCAAAATGTAGCAAGCCGGTACATTGCATCCTCAAAATGAAACATGCACACCCAAGGCCTGCCTAACTCAATGCATGTGCACCAAAGAAGCATACAAGCTCTTCGAGCCTAAAAGCCGTCGACCTTGGCATCCCCCCGCTCTACAAAAAGAACCAAGAACCAAGCATAATTCGACAAGGTAATGGTTTCAACTGCTCCTCGGCTCCCCCCCCCGCTGTCCCCTGCTGTCCCCCGCTTCCCCGCTTCCCTCATGCCCCTATACTTAAGACACTGGGTCCAAGAAGCGCCTCAATTTTACGAAAACTTGCCATGGGCGGTCTTTGTTTCTCTTCAATTTCCCCGCCCCTATTGCTTTGCAACATCGCAGGGGATCTTCCGATGCCGTTCCAGTAGGGGCCCCCTCTTGGCACTCCCGAACTGCACCCTTTTCCCCCCCCGCCCCCCGCCACCCAAATCTCCCAATTCTTGGGGTCTAGGGACCCGTGCACAGAACTCCAAGGCTCCCAAAAGGTCCTGACCGAGGGAAGGAACCTAAGTGACTCCCAAACCATCCCAAACAACCGCCTACAGCAAGCTAGGGTTTCGAGATGAAAACAACAGCGGTTGCCCGGCCCATGTTCGGCGCGGCCTGCACCGTCCGCGTTGTAGCCTTCTGATTTGCGCCCAGAAAGCGAGTACCGCGCCGAACCTGCCCACTGCAACGACGTAACCCCTTCCACAGCGCAGCTCCACACGATTCAACGACATGTCTGAAGAAAGCCTTCATCCTCGTAGCGGCTGCCGCGGTAAGGCGTGCCTTCAACTGAGGCCCCATGTGTTCAGTTCACCTCACCTCCAAACGGCTTCACTCGCTGAACTGGCCTTCACCGAGCTGTGAGTGCCGGGCCAAGGAAGCACGCACGTCACCTGATTGTTCTGGCTGGAGCATCCACTCAAAAGTTGGACGACCAACCCGCGAAGCCCCCAACTGACCCCAGCATTACCACTCCGGATAATTCCTGGCGATGAGTCCTCCTGGCGTTTAGGGGCAGGCACCTCCGTCAGGCCTCAAGCTTGCAGATTTCTGATACGTGGAGCGGCGAGAATCACCTGGCAAAGCTGCAGCGTGGAACACGAAAAGAACGATTTCAGCACACCCAAAGAGGTGTTTTGCTGCGGGCTCACAGAAACCAACGAAGCTTGCATCAATTCGTTTGCTTTCGGCTCATTCCTTCATTCTTTCGAAGACGTTTGCCTGCTCATGATCTCGATAGACTGGAGAGGCTGCACTTGATTCCCACTGCTTTGAGAAGCTGCAGGATTCTGCAATGATCACTAGTTGAGCTCTCCTTTTGTCTCTGTTGGATCTATTCAGGCTTTGCTCTTGGAAACCAATTCGCCCACTGTGACCTGGCTGGACCTGGCTGGACCTGGCTGGACCTGGCTGGTTCCGACATCTGCTGAAATTCCGGTCAATCTACGGACGCTTCCCAGAGGCTGCTCTCACTCTGGGCTCTGGAGGCTTGTCCAGGGGTGTGCACCAAACGGCCACAAATGCTCTTGAAAAGAAGTGGAAAGAAAAGCGAACGAAGGCACGAGAGAAATCCATTTCTTGGACTCCAAGCTTGCGATGCGCCGATGCGCGCAGTATTGTGTGATCTGCAGGCCACCACCCCTCCAAGGGAAGCACCACCACTCGCGTTGTAGTGTTGGGATGTGTCGGGATGCGTCGGGATGCGTTGGGACTTGCGCACTCAAACACGCCTCAAGCAATGTCAAGCCCGCTGCAAATCCAGAATCTCCAACCCGTGCTACAAGGTGCAAGGTGATTCAACGTCAAAACAGCAAGATGACACTTGCAGGCAGATTGTGTCACATGTGTGGTATTCAACTCACAGGATCTCACAGGTTCGAGACCGCCAATCACGCGGCCCGCGGCCTGCACCGTCCGCGTTGTAGCCTTCTGATTTGCGCCCAGAAAGCGAGTACCGCGCCGAACCTGCCCACTGCAACGACGTAACCCCTTCCACAGCGCAGCTCCACACGATTCAACGACATGTCTGAAGAAAGCCTTCATCCTCGTAGCGGCCGTCGGGGTAAGGGTTGCCTTCAACTGAGGCCCCATGTGTTCAGTTCACCTCACCTTCAAACGGCTTCACTCGCTGAACTGGCCTTCACTGAGCTGTGAGTGCCGGGCCAAGGAAGCGCGCACGTCACCTGACTGACTGGGGTAAAAGATTTCTGCCATCGTAAGCCCCAAACATTGAGAGACCATGTGAACCCAGAAGTCCAAAAGCAACGGTGAACCCAGACGTCCCGAAGCGTTGACGATTTCGCATTTCGCGAGCCCAGAGTCAAAAAGCGAAGACCTTCAGGACCTGCTAAGTTTATGCCCCCTGTATGGACCCCCTACAGACCCCACTCCATGCACCCCCCAACAGACCCCCTCTCCTCTGAACCCCCCCCCCCCCCTTGGCATATGGACCTGCCCTCTAAACCCATCGCTCTTTGGATTCTGGACTTGTAAAGCCCTCCCGTGCACCAAACCCCTCCAAGCGGCATCCATGGCGCGGCAGCTCTGGATTGGGGTTTCGGGTCTGAGCACGTCTCGGCCATGCCGAGTTAATGCTAACATCTCGGTGCACTTTTGCATAGTCTTGGCAGCCGGCATGAAGTCCGGGCTTTCAGGCACGTACAGCTGGAATTCGGGTGCATTGCAACACGTCCCGTTAACATTCCCATCCTGCCCGCCCAACTCATCCCAGTAAACTTCTGGACACAACAAAAGACGACTCAGAATACTAGCAGAACAAGATCAGAACAAGAGATCGGGGTCCGAGTCTGCACGTGTCGACTCCTGCATGCTCTTGCATACTGGCGCAGGCACCTTCGTCGGGCCTCGGGCTTTGTGACTTGCGGGCAATCGATCGGCGAAGGTCACCTGGCGAGGCTGACTGGCAGATCGAGGTTTCAACCTAAGCCCAGTGCTGCACAGGTGAGTTTGCTTGCTTGAATACCTTTGCATTGCCCGATTCCATTATTGGTCTTGTCGCGCCTTCGTCCTAAGTATCAGTGACTTTCTAGCCGATTTCATCAGGGGCTTGCGGCTGGTGCTTGCAGCTCGCACCTTCTTAACATGCTTGCATGCAAGGAAGCACCATATTAAGGACAAACGAAAACACAAACTGCGATTACTGCTAACCACCTGTTGCGGTTCCGGGCTTCCTATTCTACAGCAAAACTTAAACGTCTCTATTCCTTGTCTCATGGAAGAGGAGAACACTCTCTGACTCCAGTAGAGCAAAGTCATGCTCTCTCTAGCGGTGGCATGTGACTGACGACCTCCGGCCCACATACTCCTGGAGCTAGTACTCTTGCTGCTGCATGTTGGGATTGCCAGTACGCGCTCCATCTAGAATCTTGGGCTGAGGGCTTGCACTCTATTTGGGTTTAGCTTGGGCACCGCCACCTGACCAGAACAGCACAGGAAGACACAAAAGGGACAACTCTAGATATCTCTAGATGCAAGCGGAACAAGAACCAAAAAAAGAGATCGGTGTCCGAATCTGCATGTTTCGACTCCTGCATGCTCTTGCATACTGGCGTAGGCACCTTCGTCGGGCCTCGGACTTTGAGACTTGCGGGCAATCGATCGGCGAAGGTCACCTGGTGAGGCTGACTGGCAAATCGAGGCTTCACACGCCTGTCTGACGCCAGAGCATCCACAATGGACGATGACACCATCTTGAACGCAACGGACAAGAAAAACCGGAGGGTAGCTTGCTACTATTCTTATCGAACCGGCGTTTTGCACAGGACGCCTTCATCATCTCGGTCTTGGAACTGCGAGCGTCTGATCGAATACCGATCGCCTCAACGAGAGCGCCGCGCACAGTGCTGCACTGCTGCACAGCCAAAAAACGCAGAAATGGCAAGTGGCCTCTCAACGGATCGACGGCTGCCCCGAAAACCCCGAAAGCCATTACCCCCACTGCTGCACAGGTGAGTTTGCTTGCTTGAATACCTTTGCATTGCCCGATTCCATTATTGGACTTGTCGCGCCTTCGTCCTAAGTATCAGTGACTTTCTAGCCGATTTCATCAGGGGCTTGCGGCTGGTGCTTGCAGCTCGCACCTTCTTAACATGCTTGCATGCAAGGAAGCACCATATTAAGGACAAACGAAAACACAAACTGCGATTACTGCTAACCACCTGTTGCGGTTCCGGGCTTCCTATTCTACAGCAAAACTTAAACGTCTCTATTCCTTGTCTCATGGAAGAGGAGAACACTCTCTGACTCCAGTAGAGCAAAGTCATGCTCTCTCTAGCGGTGGCATGTGACTGACGACCTCCGGCCCACATACTCCTGGAGCTAGTACTCTTGCTGCTGCATGTTGGGAGTGCCAGTACGCGCTCCATCTAGAATCTTGGGCTGAGGGCTTGCACTCTATTTGGGTTTAGCTTGGGCACCGCCACCTGACCAGAACAGCACAGGAAGACACAAAAGGGACAACTCTAGATATCTCTAGATGCAAGCGGAACAAGAACCAAAAAAAGAGATCGGTGTCCGAATCTGCATGTGTCGACTCCTGCATGCTCTTGCATACTGGCGCAGGCACCTTCGTCGGGCCTCGGGCTTTGGGACTTGCGGGCAATCGATCGGCGAAGGTCACCTGGCGAGGCTGACTGGCAGATCGAGGCTTCACACGCCTGTCTGATGCCAGAGCATCCAGAATGGACGATGACACCATCTTGAACGCAACGGACAAGAAAAACCAGAGGGTAGCTTGCGACTGTTCTTATCGAACCGGCGTTTTGCACAGGACGCCTTCATCATCTCGGTCTTGGAACTGCGAGCGTCTGATCGAATACCGATCGCCTCAACGAGAGCGCCGCGCACAGTGCTGCACTGCTGCACAGCCAAAAAACGCAGAAATGGCAAGTGGCCTCTCAACGGATCGACGGCTTCCCCGAAAACCCCGAAAGCCATTACCCCCACTGCTGCACAGGTGAGTTTGCTTGCTTGTCTACCTTTGCATTGCCCGATTCCATTATTGGACTTGTCGCGCCTTCGTCCTAAGTATCAGTGACTTTCTAGCCGATTTCATCAGGGGCTTGCGGCTGGTGCTTGCAGCTCGCACCTTCTTAACATGCTTGCATGCAAGGAAGCACCATATTAAGGACAAACGAAAACACAAACTGCGATCACTGCTAACCACCTGTTGCGGTTCCGGGCTTCCTATTCTACGCCAAAACTTAAACGCCTCTATTCCTTGTCTCATGGAAGAGGAGAACACTCTCTGACTCCAGTAGAGCAAAGTCATGCTCTCTCTAGCGGTGGCATGTGACTGACGACCTCCGGCCCACATACTCCTGGAGCTAGTACTCTTGCTGCTGCATGTTGGGATTGCCAGTACGCGCTCCATCTAGAATCTTGGGCTGACTTGCACTCTATTTGGGTTTAGCTTGGGCACCGCCACCTGACCAGAACAGCACAGGAAGACACAAAAGGGACAACTCTAGATATCTCTAGATGCAAGCGGAACAAGAACCAAAAAAAGAGATCGGTGTCCGAATCTGCATGTGTCGACTCCTGCATGCTCTTGCATACTGGCGCAGGCACCTTCGTCGGGCCTCGGGCTTTGGGACTTGCGGGCAATCGATCGGCGAAGGTCACCTGGCGAGGCTGACTGGCAGATCGAGGCTTCACACGCCTGTCTGATGCCAGAGCATCCAGAATGGACGATGACACCATCTTGAACGCAACGGACAAGAAAAACCAGAGGGTAGCTTGCGACTGTTCTTATCGAACCGGCGTTTTGCACAGGACGCCTTCATCATCTCGGTCTTGGAACTGCGAGCGTCTGATCGAATACCGATCGCCTCAACGAGAGCGCCACGCACAGTGCTGCACTGCTGCACAGCCAAAAAACGCATGCTGCGGCTAAATTCTGCATTCTACAGGCGCCTTCGTCAGGCCGCGGACTTTCTGACTTGCGGGCAATCGATCGGCGAAGGTCACCTGGCAAAGCTGACATTTGATGCGTTTTCGACGGGCCACAGCACATGGGGGCCTTCATCATCTCGGCCTTGGAATTGTGAGCGTCTGATCGAATGTCGATCGCCTCAACGGGAGCGCCGCAGTGCAGCGCAGCCGAAACATCCTCCATAGCAAACATACCGTACCGCCAGAAAGTTCCACCCTCCGTGCAAAAGAAACCTTTTTGAGTTAGCTGCTACCAGCAGCCCACACAACACAAGCATCACAAGCTCTGTGTCGCCAAACGGCCAAGTTTGGGGGTCCTCTCCTCACAAAAACAATGCACCCCTGCTTGAATGAACCGAGTGGGTGTGGATGGGCGGAACACGGCTTCGCGGCTGGAGGCTCGCGGATTTGGATGGGTGGGCGCCTCCCAAGCCTACACGTCCATGCAGTTGGGCGTACTTCGCCAGTACTGATTGCGTTTGTTCTTTCTACGTTCTTTCTTCCTTGCAGAACTCGTTTTGTTCCTTCTTCGTTCTTTCGTTCTTTCGCTCTTTCTTTATTGTTTTCTATGTTTCTTCATTTCTTTCTTTCTTTTTTTCTTTCTTTGTTTCTCTCTTTCCTTATTTTCTTTTCTCGCGCTTTTCTTTCTTTTTGTCGTTCTTTCTTTCTTTCTTTGTTTCTTTCTTTTGTTCGTGGGGCAGGGGGAAGTCCCCCTTGGCAGTCTTGCCCGCCGCTGCTACAGGGTCTTCATTGTTCGATCCGCAAAGCCCCATTGGGGTGTAGATGTGGCCGTGTTGTTTGAGGCCCTCGGCTGCTCCAACAAACGAAACATACCGAAAATACCCACCTATCTACCAGCACCGAAATATACCGAAATCCTCACTTGACTAGCAGCATCCGGGCCCCACGAGGCACCAGGACTACCGCTTTCGTTGCCCGGCAAGCCTCCTTACATCCTCCTACAACGGTCACACGCCAAATCCCTCAACGAACCTGAAGTCCCCGAACTTCCTGCCCTCCAAACTCTGCATGGCCATGCGTGGTGGCTGTCCCAGATGGGGATCCAGTGCTTGTAGGTTTGGCCCAACTCATTAAACCAGTGCTTTGCCCCCTTGTTCATCGGCTTCCACTCGCTCTCGCACGTGCTTTGCTGACAGTCCCAATGTTAACGGGCTTTGCCCCTGCACCACCAGGCTTGCAGAGGTCATAGTCGGTGGAATTATTAGCCCAACACCTGATATCGTGCAATTAACATCGTCCTGATGAAGACATGTACAAGGCTTTTTGCAAGCCACGGTAGTTGCGAGGGCAGCCTCGAGATTCGCATCCCATGGCATTTTCGGGGCTTGTGCAAGCACGCAATGCGGGTTATACCTGTTGCAAAGTGCTGTGCCAGCAATGCCAATGTAGGATTCGGGCCCCACGGTATTTGTGAAGGCTTTTGCAAGCAAGGAGCCCCAAATCGTGGGTCTAATGTGCGCCGCCGGAGACCCCTCCCCGTTGCCACGACGGTGGCATATCAGACCCTATAGGACTATAGGATTCGGACCAAATTCAACCCCTAAACCCTAAACCAGGCCCCCAGCATCCCCCCAAATCACTCCAAAATCGTTTTGGAGCGATTTTGGAGCGTTTTTAGAGCGATTTTGGAATCATTTAACAGCTATTTCGCGGCTGACCCGAGCTGATTCCAGAGATCTTCGCGGGCTGTCTAAAAGAGTATTCCCGGCACCGCCCACAACCCCAACACAAAAGGAGAGAGAGAGAGAGAGAGAGATAGGCGAGAGGCGAGAGGCGAGAGGAGCGAGAGGCGAGGAGCGAGGAGCGAGGAGTGAGGAGTGAGGAGTGCCCAAAGCGGCCCCGAAGCGCACAACGCGCACGTAAACGCGAACGTAAACGCGAACGAAAAAACGGCGAGCGTGAAAGGTGTGTGGCGCTAAACAGAACAGCAAGCCCACGGTGATGTGGGAAAGCACTTGGGAGCAAAAGAGTGGACAACCAAAAGCGCAAGCCAAACAAGAGACGCCGGCAGGGCCCGAATCTGCAGGTGTCGACCCCAACACATCGGTGCAGGAGCCTTCATCAGGTCTCGAGCTCTCTGATTTGCGGGCGGCAAACGATCGTCGAACATCACCTGGTAAAGCTGAGCTCTTTCGCAACTCGTAACTCGAGCTCAGCGGAGCCTTCATCATCCTGGAACTGAGAGCGTCTGATCGAACGGCGATCGCCTCAAAGGGACGTTGCAGCGCAGCACAGCCGAAACATGAAGCAGCAACAACAAATTTCCACAGGCCTCAGCAACCATACCGTAACGATACCAAAACAGTGACACTTGTGTTGCCACACCCACCACTTGATCTTTTGCTCACAGGCCGTCTTGCTCATGCGCACCCTTCTCTAGCCACATCCGGCAGTTGCATTCCGTACCTTCTGCATCTTTACCTCTCATCTCAGTTTCACAAGTGTGTTTTTTGGAAGCCGCCCCCAGTCCATGACTTGTAACCCCACGTATCCCCACGTTCCTGCGCACATTCACTCGCTCTGTTTAAGCTTTTCCCGGCCCCTCCATGAGACCTGCTGCACCTGCTCATATCGACGCATAGGTAAGACATGCTAAGGCAAAAGGAGAAGCAAGAGACGCCGGCAGCGCCCGAATCTGCAGCTGTCGACCCCTACACATCGGTGCAGGAGCCTTCATCAGGTCTCGAGCTCTCTGACTTGCGGGCGGCAAATGATCGTCGAACATCACCTGGTATAGCTGACAACTGACTGACATCGACCGAACTCTTTCGCAACTCGTTGCTCGAGCTCAGCGGGGCCTTCATCATCCGGCAGCTGAGAGCGTCTGATCGAGCGGCGATCGCCTCAAAGGGACGCTGCACAGCAGCTCGGCCGAAACATGAAGCAACGATACCAAAACAGTGACCCTTGTGTTGCCACACCCACCACATGATCTTTTGCCCACAGGCCGTCTTGCTCATGTGCACCTTGCTTTAGTAACATCCGGCAGTTGCATTCCGTACCTTCTGCATCTTTACCTCTCATCTCAGTTTCACAAGTGTGTTTTTTGGAAGGCGCCCCCATTCCATGACTTGTAACCCCACGTATCCCCACGTTCCCGCCCACATTCACTCGCTCTGTTTAAGCTTTTCCCGGCCCCTCCAATTTGAGACCTGCTGCACCTGCTCATATCGACGCATAGGTAAGACATGCTAAGACAAAAGGAGAAGCAAGAGACGCCGGCAGCGCCCGAATCTGCAGCTGTCGACCCCTACACATCGGTGCAGGAGCCTTCATCAGGTCTCGAGCTCTCTGACTTGCGGGCGGCAAATGATCGTCGAACATCACCTGGTATAGCTGACAACTGACTGACATCGACCGAACTCTTTCGCAACTCGTTGCTCGAGCTCAGCGGGGCCTTCATCATCCGGCAGCTGAGAGCGTCTGATCGAGCGGCGATCGCCTCAAAGGGACGTTGCACCGCAGCACAGCCGAAACATGAAGCAGCAACAACAAATTTCAACAGGCCTCAGCAAACATACCAAAACAGTGACCCTTGTGTTGCCACACCCACCACATGATCTTTTGCCCACAGGCCGTCTTGCTCATGTGCGCCCTGCTTTAGCCACATCTGGCAGTTGCATTCCGTACATTCTGCATCTTTACCTCTTAGTTTCACAAGTGTGGTTTTTGGAAGGCGCTCCCATGCCCTTCCATGACTTCTAACCCCACGTTCACGCGCACAATCACTCGCTCTGCTTAAGCCTTTCCTGGCCCCTCCTGTTTGACACGTGCTGCACCTGCTCATATCGACGCATAGGCAAGACATGCTAAGACAAAAAGGAGAAGCAAGAGACGCCGGCAGGGCCCGAATCTGCAGGACCCCTACACATCGGTGCAGGAGCCTTCATCAGGTCTCGAGCTCTCTGATTTGCGGGCGGCAAACGATCGTCGAACATCACCTGGTAAAGCTGAGCTCTTTCGCAACTCGTAACTCGAGCTCAGCGGGGCCTTCATCATCCTGGAACTGAGAGCGTCTGATCGAACGGCGATCGCCTCAAAGGAACGTTGCAGCGCAGCACAGCCGAAACATGAAGCAGCAACAACAAATTTCCACAGGCCTCAGCAACCATACCGTAACGATACCAAAACAGTGACACTTGTGTTGCCACACCCACCACTTGATCTTTTGCCCACAGGCCGTCTTGCTCATGCGCACCCTGCTTTAGCCAAATCCGGCAGTTGCATTCCGTACAAACTTCCGCATCTTTACCTCTCAGTTTCACAAGTGTGTTTTTTGGAAGCCGCCCCCATTCCATGACTTGTAACCCCACGTATCCCCACGTTCCCGCCCACATTCACTCGCTCTGTTTAAGCTTTTCCCGGCCCCTCCATGAGACCTGCTGCACCTGCTCATATCGACGCATAGGTAAGACATGCTAAGACAAAAGGAGAAGCAAGAGACGCCGGCAGCGCCCGAATCTGCAGCTGTCGACCCCTACACATCGGTGCAGGAGCCTTCATCAGGTCTCGAGCTCTCTGACTTGCGGGCGGCAAATGATCGTCGAACATCACCTGGTAAAGCTGACAGCTGACTGACATCGACCGAATTCTTTCGCAACTCGTAACTCCAGCTCAGCGGGGCCTTCATCATCCGGCAGCTGAGAGCGTCTGATTGAACGGCGATCGCCTCAAAGGGACTACGGATACTATCGCTCCTGACTGCTGTGTGCTACCTGAACGAATCACATTGCCTGGTTTGATGCTGCAAGAAATCGAAAGCAAATGCCCGGTGTGCCCAGATTAACAAAAAGACTGCCCAGCATACGTAGGCACCTTCATCAGCCCGCCAGCTTTCGGATTTGCGGGAGGAACGGCGAACATCGCCTGGCTATGTCTACTGCAGGCAAGTAATCAGATAAACAAGGAAACTCCGTATCGATGAGACCATGAACACATGTCCGAACGTGGCTGTGACAGAGCTTCTTGTCTGACCCGACCCAGCTCAAAAGCTTCACGAGGCTCCGAATGCTCACCATGAGCCATGGTCGTCCCCCACCCCGAGAATATGCCCCCGCAAAACCCTAAAGGCTAAATGCCAGACCTAAACCCTGAATTCTGGTTGCTAAGCCCTAAGCCCTACACCCATACCCCAAACCCTAGATCTAAACCCCACGTAGAAAACATGAAATCGAAATCCCCAAACTCCACAACGACACCAAAGGAGGGATTATGGAGACAGTTGGAGGCGGTTGAGGACGGTAGAGGACGAGCAGAAGACAACCATGGCTTGATCATGAACGGAGATGAACGGAGCGAAGGGGTTCATGCGTGTATCCATGTCTCTCCTCACCGCGCAAGCCACCCAGTCGTGACCGTGAATTGGCACCGGCACTGCTCAACAGTCTTACAGCCTCATGGGAAAACACAAGGCTTCCGATGTACGTAGAAGATGCACAAAACTAGCGGAGGGAGGCCAGAGCCCAAATTCGCTTTGGGCATGTCTGGTCAATAGCCCAAGGGTGCACCGATACTGGGCGGAGAAATCTTAAGTTCGAATTCAGGGTGACATTGAGGAGAAAAATTTCACCTGAGGGGCGTATGACTTTGTGCGAGCTGCGAGGGTGCAAAAGCCTCCTCCACTTGCAGCTTGAAAATTGAGTGTCGAATGGTTGCACAGGGGCATTCAAATTAGCAAAGTACATAGGGGTTGTCGTTTACGAACCAATGTGGACACAAAAAATGTTCACTTACTAACTCTGACAAAATATCAGCAAAAAAACTCAGCGAACTCACTTGTTGGAAGTGTAAGCCTTCACATTGTAATTCAACGATTGATGCTCTGATGGGCGTGCATCCGTTAGCGAAACTTGACAGCCTTTTGATACCCGGTAGCTACTGGTTGCTACCATCTACTGGTGCGCGACTTGCTGTGAAGCTGGACTTGAACCATTGCCCCACCCGATAACCTAAAACTCAGTCGGGCGACCGGTCGTCGAGAGTCGCGACTCACCTCATAGCACCACGCAAGAACGTTTAGACCACAGGGCAAGACCTAACGACAGTTGAGGAGTTGCCACGGTGCATGTTGCATTCTTCCGCGTTCTTGATGACTCTCTGCACAACATTACTCTCGTGCACCGGCAGGCATGGCCCAAATGGGCCGGATCAACCAGCACAAGAAAGCTGAAAGCATGTCGGACAAGCAAATGGGCACCCAGACAAACAAAGCACCCATACAGAGAGAACGCAAGGTGAGGCCCGTGCTAGGGATATTTCCAAAGACCTGGCATAAGCATGAATCGCATTGGATCCAGTAAAGCCTGACCCGAGCTCTTAGATGTAGACTGGCTTCCAGCGAATTTAGCATCCTCTGTTGTTCGACTGAAACTAACAGCTGGAACTCTTGCTGCATCAGAAATCCTAAGCCCTGAAGAAGCTAGCTGAGCTCCAATGTGGCTTGACCCCAGATCCTTGTCGGCAGGTGTAGGGCTGAATGTGGAGCGACGCATCGCAGGTGGTGTAGGCACTTTCATCCAGCCATTGAGGAGCTGACTCCTAGAGTAGTGACTGCTAGGCGACGAATAAAGTGGAACTTTAAGATCTCTCGATGATGCTTGAAAGGCGGGAGACAAACCAAACCTGGATAAAGCCACAGGTCTAGGTCTCTTTGGAAAACTCTGCAAATCGTCCACAGAATTTGAATGATGTGACAACACAACCTGAGCTCAAAAAATGCTTCGGGGTAGCACCTCAGCAACCTTTCTCCAGCTCGCATCATCCGTAACGAAAACCTGTCTCAGGAAATCTGCGCTATGCTGACAATGCTAAGATGCGCAAGCCACTGCCTGTATATCCTGTCAAGCTCCTTGGCAATTGCTCTGAACAGCACATCTTACTGTCCCATGGCATGGCCTCCGTTTCGGCGTCTGACTCATCTGAACTCAGCAGGATCACGCAGATGAACGAAATGAGCAAAAGCGAATCTCCAAATGTGAAGGCTGGGGCTTGTCGACCGGCCGCTCACCTCAACAAGAACTGACGCTACAGGGTTCAAACGAAAAAAATGATATTTCAAGTGGTGTGTGGCGTTGGCAACGTCGCACACTGCTAGATGTTGCTACGCCTTGCCAAGTGTGGCTACTCACTACTTCCGTCTAAAGAAAAGCCAAAAATGACAAAATAATCACAACGACGCACCCACATCACCCACAAACCAAAAACACGGCGCCTTCATCGGTGCTCAAGACTGACTTGCGGGGAGTGGTGGAAGAACGACGCGAGGCACCTGTGGCTACCAAAAGCAGCATGGATGCACAAGTAATGACAAGCAATTCCCGAATTTCCCACCTCCAAGGCCTTCGTCCAGACCTGCCAGAGACCCTTGCAGTCAACTTTTGTCTACTCTTCACGTCCCTCGATAACACGCCTCCATCACTGCCCAGATTGTAAGATTTGCGAGCTTTGACCACTTCACGCATGTCGCCTCGAAAAAATCAGAGCTGAAACGTAAAGGGACTGGGTTCGGGAAGCTGACCCTTAACTTTCACACTTTAGGGTTAGCCTTTGCAGGAACCCAACGGCCGCGACCTTTTGCCCAAACGCAAACAAACCCTCAACTTTTGCGTTCAGGTTGCGTCCCTGAGCCCTGTTGCAAACGACCTATCGACGCGTCTCGTTTCACTGTACTACCAAGTTCAGGTATTCTTTCGCGAGTAAGGTTTCAAAGACCAAACCTTTGCAAGACCAAGGCAAGGAAGGCTCTGCAAGACCTGACTGAGACCATCGCGATCTCCTTGCGAAGTGCGGGTACTAGGCCTGTCACCTCAGTACAAAAGTTCACATCACGCACAACAATGCCAAACGATGTTCTCTAACTTCCCTCGGCGACTTGAGCAATCAAGCCTTGATGACGGTTGCTAACCGATGATGGTCTACAAGCTGTCGAGCGTCGTCCACCTCCCGGCCACATTTGGAAGTGTTCAACATCACTGAACCAAATGACTACGACGCATGGCTGTGTGGCAGCCCGGCCTTCAATTCGAGATGATGTACGGTCGTCTACCTCCACTGTTCTCTATACAAAACAGGGAACATGTCTACGTCGAAAGACACAAGCACCTTTGTCCATTCAGCGCTGCTCGAGATCATTTCCTTCAGATTCGCATTGCATTGTTGACTTTGCATGTTGCTGCATGCATTGACAGAGTCAACACGGCATGTTGCATACTCCGAGGCCGCCAACTGCACCAAGTTGTGAGGTCGGGAGGGAGGAACAAAGTACTGCTTGAGAACAGCAAACTGCAACACGGACAAAGTCAATCGACGCATGCATGCATTCATGACGATATCACAACATCATAACGCCCGCACAAACACTGAATCATTTGCGCCCTTTCATCCTCCAATAAGATGCGTATCATCCATCGACCATACATTTCTAAACGCAGCAACGCACAAACCTTTCCCAGAACGTGAAGCAATCACTCATAACAATTTGGCAAGTTCGGCAGGCAAATTTGCGTTTGGACTGGTGCATGATACGACTATGCTGACAGTGTCCCGGGAGAAAAACGCGAATCCGCGAATGCGCGCAACTGTGAACCTGCGAATCAGCGAATCTGCGAATCCGGGAATCAGCGAGAAAAATCCCGCGAACCCGCGAATCAGCGAAGCCGCAAAAACGTGAATCCATGCCGAACATGTAAATAGGTAGGGAAGAGGTAGGTATGTGCTTCGTCTGAGCGTGCGCCAAGCAGTTCAATCCATAAGGCCCGCTGCCGGCAAAGGCGGCAAACGGGACCCATCCACATCCAAGCTTTGGAGGCGCTGAGCCCCGTGGTCCTGCTGAAAATCCTTAAAGGGGCCTTGCCCAAAACCTTCCCAGCACAATGAGCGCGTTCCTGCTTCTGAGGGCTGCGCAAAGCAACAAAAACCCGACGGCTTGTGAGAGAGTACAAGGCCGAGTCAGAAGGAAAGCGGGAGCTGTCCAATCTAGAAGCCGGTAGATCAACAAGGTGGAACACACTCACACATCAGCTGAGCGTCCGCCGAGCATTTGGGTAAAGGCAGGTAAGTATGGCAGGCAGTAGGTACGGTAGGTAAAAACATATAGGTAGGCAAGTAGGGGTACGAACAAGTGCACTGGTATTACTGGTAGCATGGACGTTATGACGTTATCATTCTGTGGTCATGGATGCTCCCGCAAGAATGGACACGCTGGAAGCATGGACATTATCATTGCGCGGGCATGGATGCTCTCGCCAGAACCAAAACACGTGTTTAGGCTAGCCGGACTGCAAGGACTTACTAACCTAGGCATGAACCTGCTGTAACGCTTTCGTAACCTGGCGAAACTATTTGTAACCTTCCTTCAGGCTATAAGGTGGTAAGGAAAGGTTACAGACGTTGATTTTCGTGAGTTTTTTATGGCTTGTTTATCATTTTTAATAACGTTTTCCAAGTTTTCCAACTTGTTTATCATTTTTCTTAACTTTTGCTTTCTTTTCGTTTGCTTCATTCGTTCTTTCGTTCTTCGCCGATGTCAATCGACGATTGCAATTGTGGCTTCTGTCATTCGTGTTTTCTGCAACTCATCTTTATGGCGAAATATTGCTCGAACAGGTTGTTGCTTCCGGCCCTGTCGTAGCCGAGCTGAGCATGATGATGTTCGGGGGTGCTTGCATCGAGTGCTTCCTGCAATGCAAACAAAGGTTGAGAAATGTTGTTTTGCCCGAGTGCCCTTCACAGCGTCAATTGCTTAATGGGCGAGTCTCCTGTATACTTAGTGAAACACACCTGTACAAGCCAGCGAGCGCAAACGATGTCATGTCTGCAAGGCCCGAGTTGCAAGACAACCATACACAAGGGAACTACATGAGACCAAGAAACAAATTACACCACCGAAGACCCCAAACAGTAGAAGGAAATTTCACGTGTGAAGTGAGGTTCCGTCATACTAGCCACCGCACCGAACTTGGCTGGGGCAACAACCGACAACGCAGGAACCTAAAGGTTTGTTCCAGCCAAACCCTCTACGACTCTACGGACACCGTGCGCGAGCCACCGCCCGAGACACGCGAGCCACCGCACGCGAGCCACCGCACACGAGCCACCGTACCGAAATCGGCCAGAGCCCTAAAGGTTTGTTGCAACCAGGAACTGCCGAGCCACCGCACGTGAGCCACCGCACGCGAGCCACCGCACGCGAGCCACTGTACAGCCAGCGAGCGTAAAAGAAGTCGTGACTACAAAGAAGCAACCGCTAGCGCAGAGGCCCTTATTGCAAGACAACTTAACGCAAGGCCAGCACGGTGAGACCAATGCAAACAAGAACCTACCGGCACCAATCACTCGACTGCCCGTCACCCATAGCAATGCTGCGCCACGTCTGGCACAGACATTAAGCGTAAGTATGGGTAGGCCGTAAGGCAAGGAACCCCCGTCACCTAAACTGCTCAACGCGTCCGTAGAGACAGTCCCCACACAAGCGCCAGGGCCGTAGCAAGGGCATAGCACTCAGTACACCTTTTCGGATTGACAAGGAAGTTGCAAGCACACTGAAAGAAAGGTACGAATGCGCACAAATGCACGAATGCACACAGAGTGCCAGAAAGGGCGTCCCCTGTTTTCGGCGAGGGGGGAGGCAGGGGCAGAGGCTCCTTGTGTTTGCACCGACGCCTGGAGAGTTTGAGCACTCGAGCGCGAAGCGAGCGCTGGGCGGAGCCCGGTTTAGGTTAGGGGTGAAACGAGATGTTGAGGGGAGTCACCTCACCCTACCTCCTAGTCCCCTTTGGGACGGCAAGCCTTTAAACTGGGTCCGGCGGTCAGGTGATGCGCGTAAGCAGCACCATCGACACAGACCAGTTGAGCTCACCTACCTAGTGGCAGCTGCTGCAGGCAAGCCAGAAGGCTCAGTAAGGGAGTCTCTCACCTTACACTGGACTGGAGGAGTGACCAAATTGGCTCGTTGAATTAGGGAAAGTAACGATTTGGAGAGACTCCTCACCCTTCGTTGCTTAACATGCAAAGGCCACACAACACGGGGAGACACCTCACCCTGTGTGCAGGAGTAGACCTTAGCAACCTCGGGGAGGCACCTCTCCCTGTGCTCAAGGTCCTAAAGAAAGAGCGGTAACCTCCCCCAAGGGAAGGGTCAGCCACAAGACCCGGTCTTAAACGTACCATGGGAAAAAGGGAAGGTTTAGGGCAAACCTACCCGACCCCAATGCCTGTAGCACTTTAACCCCAGGTTTGCAACGGAGAAGAGGCCCAGCAGAGGCGGCACCGGAACTCTATTGGGCTCCACTTTTTTCCACAGGCATACCACGGGACCCAGAGCGCCTGAAGCAAGGGAGTCACCTCACCTTGGACAAAAAGCACAGCCCGAGCATTGGAGGGAAGTTGCTTTTCCCTACTTGTGACCGAAATCCAGCAAAAATTACCTGGACGGCATGCACAAAGGATGAGAAGGAGGATGAAGGGGACTGAGAAAGGCTGCTGCCCGTCAACGCGGAACTTGGGCGCAGGGCCGACGCCAACCCCTCATTGTCGGCAAGCCAATGGCGCGGGGTCCACGCTTTCCCCTTGTGCTTAACTACGTGATGGTGCGGGGAACCACACCCTGCAAGACCAGTTCCAGACCCCCGAACCCCTGCCTTCAAACCGAAGTATTGCGAGCCCAGGTGGGTCTGCACAGTAGCCAGTAGGTTGGAGATGCTCACAGTCACTGCCACTCTGCACAACCCCAGTGACTAGCGCAGTGACTCGGTGAAATCCTTGGCAGCAAGAAAAAAAACCGCCAGAAGCTGCCACTGCGGGAGGCCTGCCCGGCTGGCAACGCAAGACCCCAAGCAAAGTTACTCAAAACACCCATCGTGGCAGAAAAGCTCAAAGAGGCCCGGTGGCAAACCTGAAAAGCTGCAACGCTCCACTGTGAGAAACTCTGGCTGGGTAAACCAACCACTACAGGACACCAAACAGGGCACGAGACCGGCTGCACCTAATTGCCTGCTCAAACCGCGTCTAAGGACGCAGAAAAGTCAACTCTTGCAGCGGCTGGCTAAGAAAGCAACACTCCGGCCGGGGGTAACAAGCCGCCTGAGCAAGCGAAAGGCAAAACACCTGGATCACTCAAACCTGCTGGCGCAGCACACGGACGAACAAGCCCGGACCCCAAGAGTTAGACAAAGGCTGGAGAGTTTGAGTAAACGAGCGCGAAGCGAGCGCTGGACGGAG